CCGTTTGCGCTTAGCGACGGCGTGGAGCTGCAGGTGTTCCTTGTTCTAAATGTTTCCCACGTGGGAGCCAATTTCATCCTCCAAGCAACAGTAGCCCTGGCGGGCAGCTCCTTCCACGTGCTCCATGAGCAAGGGCTATCCCTGCTGTTCAAAAGGGGAGCTGCCTGGGAGGACCCGTCAGCCTGAGGCCGCACGTGGACCCCTTCCACGGCCCTGGGAGCTCCGCGGGCTCTTCCAGGCCCTGTCTTAGAACAGCAGACTCTGTAACAGGGCCTTAAGGAGGACGGAAGGGGCAGGGGGCTCCGGTGGAGTGGGGGAGCAGGTGCACCAGGCACGGGGAGCAACAGTGGCCAGAATCCCAGCCGTGAAAAAGCGCGCGCAGAGCCAGGTGGGAGCTGTCAGGGTTACTCAGGTGGCTCCCGTTTTAGGAGCTTCGGCACCCTCGCCTTCTCTTCCGAAACTGGACCTCTGGCGCCACCTGGTGGTGGTTCCTGATGCTAACAAGGCAGAATCCGCCACCTGGAGTCCAGGTCGCTCTCATCCATCCGCCCTGAGCCGCCTCTTCCTATCTGACTTGGTGTCCAGCCAATAAACAACAACCCAGGCAAGTTTTTTCTTAATTTACAAATTACGTTGAACTTCCGGTCGTCGCCGCAGAGCGTGCTCGTTGTAGACAATTTGGAAAATAACGAGGAGAATAAGTCACTCTTAATAGTACCAGAATAACTGCCATTTGTTAACCTGGGTGTGTGGCTGCCCGGGTTTCCCTCTGGCTGTTTCCACCTGGATGAGAATTCGTGTGTGTACTGGGTCGTGTTTATAGGTCTGCCGAGAAGTTCTGTGGGCCACAGTGTGGTGTGGGTGTTGGGAGCCAGGTGCTGGGGTTACATCACATGGGACAGGTGACTTCTCTGAGTAGCAATGTCCTTTGTGGTTAATAATGGGATCCGTCCCCGAGGAGTGACGAGGACCTAATAGGGTGTGTGGAAGAGGCCGACTCCCCCAAAGCACACAGCTACATAAAGCGGGTCCTTCTGATTCTAGAAACAGAAGCGACTTCTGGGTTCAGGGACCTGAAGAGCGGCTACATGGTTGCCACAGTTTGTCAAAACAGTGGAAAATTTCCAGTGAGAGCTTGCGCCTCGCCCACCACAGCTGTTCTCCCTGCCTGTGTTATTCCAGGCCCAGCTTGCGCAGAGCAGTTGGAAGCTCTGTACTCACAACTCCTTCGTGTGACATCACCAGCATCTTCCCAAGTGGCCAGAGCTGTCACGGACAGCATCAGCCATAATTCGCTCAAGTATTTCTTTCCTGTTGAATATCAGGGCAGCTTAATCATTCATTTATTCATTCAGGAAGTCACGCTAGAGGGCCTGGTGTCTGGGGTACGGAGCTAGGCATTGGGATACTGTGGTGAACAAGACAATGGGCTCCTTCCTCTGTCACCTTCGGGGCTGGCTCTGGCTGCCGAGGCAGACCTGGGGGACCCACACCTGCCGCTGCATTGTACTGCGCAGGACAAGAGGAGAACGCTGCGACATAGCGACTTCATGGACACAGCTGTGCGCCTCCCCTGCTCATAGCCATGGCCGCAGCTTCTCTCTTCTCGTAAGGGTTGGATTTTTCACCCCCACAGTCTGGAGTTTCCTGAGAGGAGAAGTCAGAGGGTCCCGTGGTGTTGAAAGACCTGACGGCCTCGTGTCCTGCTCTGTCCTTCAATGCTTGCATTTCAACCAGTCCAGTCTTTCCCCTGCCCCCATGCCCTAGCCCTCAAATGTATTTTGAGAGATAGAGGAGAGAGAGAGAGAGAGAGAGAGAGAGAGAGAGAGAGAGAGAGAGAAAGAGAAAGAGAAAGAGAAAGAGAAAGAGAAAGAGAAAGAGAGAGAGAAAGAGAGAGAGAGAGAGAGAGAGAGACCTCCAATCCACTGGTTCACTCCCCAAGTACCTGCAACAATCAAGACTGAGCCAGGTTGAAACCAGGAGCCAGGAACTCAAATCACCGTTTCCCATGTGGGTGGCAGGGACCAAACACTTGAGCCATCACCCGTCGCCTCCCAGTGAGCACATTCCGAGGAAGCCAGCATGAAGGGAGGAGTCGGGAGTTAAGCCCAGTGGCATCCTAACCACCACGCCAGCTGCCCCCTGCAGTTACACCTGTCCTAGATCCACCCACACTGCCCCTCTCCCTCCTTTTCTAAAGAGGACCCCTCTCCCCAGCCCTGGCAGCCTTTGAGGCCATCAGCCAAGGTGCCCCACCTGGTGGAGCAAGCCTGATGGGTGAGGCTTGGTGGGCACAGCCAGGGACCTGCCCTCAGCCTCTGCCCTGAGCCCACCCAGCCTTCCACCTGCCTGTGTCTCACTCTACTTGGAAGACTCAGCTTTCGCTCCCTCTGTGGATCCTGGCCTGGCTTTCTAACCCACACTAATTACCCACTCCCTAAACTCCCCAGTACCTCTTATTGTTCACTCTCTGGCTCCCTGGGCACTGAGCAATCATCTCCTGCCTGGTGATTCCTCCTGTTTCCTTTCTTGTATCATCATTGCACCAGCAAAGTTCTGATTTGGATCGAGAGACCAGAGGCATCTCTGCAGGGGCAGCATTGACACTGAACACTGACGGGGAAGAGGGCGGGAGCTGGGTTAAGGCCCTGAGGCAGAAGTGGCCTTGGATATGAGAGGGAAATGAGTGTCTCCCTGCAGAACTGTGTTTCCAGATCTGGTAAACGATGCTGAGAGAACTCCGTCCTCGGCACATTCATACCACTTTCTGAGGACCACTGAGTTCTAGTCCCTGGAGACGGGGACCCAGAGATGGGTCAGACCAGCCTCCTCCCTGCCCAGACTTGGGGGGAGCCCCGGACGATTGTTTTTTTCAAGATTTACTTTTTGAAAGTTACTGAGAGAGGGAGGGAGGGAAAGAAAGAGAGAAAATGAATGAATGAATCTTCCACCCACTGGTTTACTCCTCAGATGGCCTCAATGGCCAAGGCTGAGCCAGGCTGAAGCCAGGGGCAGGAACTTCTTCCAGGTCTCCCACATGGATGCAGGGGCCCAGACACTAGAGCCGTCCTTCATTGCTTTTCCCAGGTGCATTAGCAGGGAGCTAGATCGGAAGTGGAGCAGCCAGGACTTGAACTGGTGCCCATATGGGATGCTGACTCTGCAGGTGGTGGCTTCACCTGCTCCGCCACAGCACTGGCCCCTGGGATGGTGTTTGTACAGTGTGACGGACAGGCCATGGGCAGGTTGTGAATGTAGAGAGAAGAGTAGAGAGAGTCACTGTTGGCCTGGAGGCACCCGGGAAAGCTCAGGCAAGAAGCCATTTCCAGGTGGAAGCACAAAGAGGAAGACCAGGCAGAGGAAACGGTGGGGGGAGGGGTGCTTCTGGAAAGATCCGTGAGGACAGTCCACATGCTTGAGCTTTGTAGCTGGAAGGAGACCGGGGGAAGCCTGCTGCGCGGAGGATGGGCGAGGGTGGTGGGGCCGGTACACTGGCCCCAGTGAGAGGCAGAAGCCGGAACTGGGGCCACGATGGTAGGGATGGAGAAGCAGGGGAGGCGAGAGGCGTTTCCGCACACAACCCAGAGGACTTTGCGGTGCACTGGTTACGGAGGCCAGGGCGGGGGAGACGTCAACAGCTGGAGATGGAGGACTGATAGGGGTTGTGCCCTCCCCAAGACCAGGGACACCAGGGTGGGGGACAGGATTTGGAGGGCAGTGTGGTGGACAGAGATTGGGGGACGGAGAAGGCTTCTTTTTGGTACCACGGACAGCTCCAAAGAGGTTCCCGAGGCCTTGAAACAGCCTCCATCAGTCCCTCCTCACCTTGATGCCTTGGAATCAGCAGAGGAGGCCACTTAGCACGCAGACTCCGAGGCCCACCTGACGCCTGCGTCAGCGTCTCTGGGGGGTGGGG